AAGAAGTTAAAACAGCATTTCACTCTGTATCTTCAAGATAAAAAGTAAAAAGTGAGTAAAAAGGAAGTCATTCAGAAGGTAGCCTTATTTTTGACAGTATTTTTATTTAGCATGTGCATAGTCATCTAGCCAAGCGACAGCATCTTCAGTGGCATGATGCAGTTCTTCTAGGCCACCACTGAACCTAGTCAGCAGGCATTCCTTGACGATGTGCGTCATCGTCTGTGTTGTGCTGCAGCTTTACAAAGGGCTGTAATGAAATCCCCAGCGGTACTGGTTGGCTGCACAGAGACCTCTGGAACCTGTTTAACAGGGACCATTGGCGACGGGGCAGGTCAAAACCAGGTGGGCAAATTGTGGGGTTGGCAACGAGGGACTGGTTGGGGATTATAACAATATCCATTCCTCTCGCCAGAGTGTTTCCGCCCTAAAATCCTGGCCTGGCGGATGAGACCATAATGGGTGACGTGACGGCAAATGTGCAGCTGCTGCTTTAAAAAGGTCATTGTGCAGTGGCAGGCTTGGGTTGGCATCAGGGCCGTCCCTAGCCATTTGGGTGCCCTATGCAGCCCCCCCGCGGGGGGCCTGTGTGAGGCCCCATGCCTCCCTGCCCCTGGGTCTGGGAGGCAGGAGCTGGGGGGTCATTTTTGGGGGCTCCACAGGCCCAGAGTGGCCCGGGGAATTAGCAGAGGGCTGGGAGCAGCCTGCTCAGCTTCCCTTGCCCTGGCCCCAGCCGTGTCGCTCAGGGGAGGGGGCTTGGAGAAGGGATCCCCCACGTAGTGGTGGGAAGCGGCGCAGCCCGGCCCCAGCCCGCTCTACTCTGCCATCTCCCAGCCGCGGCGCTCCGCTTCCCGCTGCCGATGAGAGCCGGGGGCGGTCCCTTCCCCAACCTGAGTGACATGGCTGGGGCCGGGGCAAGGGAAGAGGAGCGGGCCAGGGGCAGAGCAGGGGGGAAGGGTAAGAGGCAGGGTGGAGGGAGTTGTCTGGAGCCCCACACAGGGCCGGCTTTAGGAAGTGTGGGGCCCAATTCGAACATTTTCGGTGGGGCCCCGTCAGGGATGGCTGCGGGCAGGGGGTGCGGGGCAGGCTGCAGACAGGAGCTGGCTGCAGGCAGGGCAGGGGGTGCGGGGCTGGCTGCAGGCAGGGCAGGGGGAGCGGGGCTGGCTGCAGACAGGGCAGGGGGTGCGGGGCTGGCTGGAGACAGGGGCTGGTGCGGGCAGGGCAGCGGGTGTGGGGCTGGAGGCAGGGCAGGGGGTGCAGTAGGGGCTGGCTGCGGGCAGGCGGTGCGGGGCTGCTGCGGGCAGGGGTGTATGTGGGGCTGGCTGGCTTCAGGCAGGGCCGCAGGGGGGTGCGGCAGGGGTTGGCTGGAGACAGGGCAGGGGGTGCAGCAGGGGCTGGCTGTGGGCAGGGGGTGCAGAGCTGGTTGCAGGCAGGGCAGGGGGGGCTGGTGCGGGCAGGTCAGGGCAGGGGGTGCAGGGCTGGTGCAAGCAGGGGGTGCGGGGCTGGAGGCAGGGCAGGGGGTGCAGGGCTGGCTGGAGACAGGGGCTGGCTGCGGGCAGAGGGTGCAGCAGAGGCAGCTGGAGCCCCGGCCCTTTAAATAGCCCCCGAGCCCCCCGCTATCCCAGGGCTCTGGGGGCTATATAAAGGGCCTGGGGCTCCCCTGCTTCTACTGCCCCAGCCCTTTAAATAGCCGAGGGAGCCCTGGGGAAGCGGCGGGGCTCCGGCGGCTATTTAAAGAACTGGGGCGGCAGAGGCAGCTGGAGCCCCGACTCTTTAAATAGCCCCCAGAGCCCTGCAGCCCTACCCGAGGGCTCCAGCAGTGCGGCTCTGGTGGCAATTTAAAGGGTCTGTGGCTCCAGCCCCTGCTGGGAGCCCTAGGCCCTTTAAATTGCCCCCTGGGGAAGCTGGGCCACCCTGGTACGGCGCACCGGCTCTTGCCGGTACGCTGTACCAGTGCTTGGGTGCGGGGCCCTCTTAGGCGCGGGGCCCGATTCAGGGGAATCAGTTGAATCGGCTTAAAGCCAGCCCTGGCCCCACACCCTAGGGATGGCCCTGCCCCTTGAAGGGGGGGGGGGCGGCCGAGGGATAGGGCTGGCTGCCGGAGCTGGCGCTGCCACGTATGCAGCATGCAGCTGCCTAGGGCACCATGAAATTTGGGGCAATTTGGTGCCCCAAATTTCATGGTGCCCTACGCAGCTGTGTATGCTGCGTATGCCTAAGGACGGCCCTGGTTGGCGTGTACTTTCTCCAGTAACTTGCCAGTGGCAACCTCTCGTCTGATAGGAGGAGGAGCAATATTGCTCAGAATTTTTGATAGTGACTGGTTCTGAAGGATTTAATATATTCATTTTCAGTTAACTGAGGCAGTTGTATGCAGGAATCTGAGACAGCATGCCAGCTAGGCAAGTCTATTGATAGGGAGACTGGGCCCAGGCACACTGACTGGGTGACTTTGTTTGAAGACAGAACCTGAAGACAAGGATGGAGTCCTGCCAAAAACTTGCCAGACAACACTCTTTTTAGTACCTTGTTTTCTCTTGTTTTGGGACTTTTATACAGAAGAAAGGATGGAACTGGAGAATGGCTTAGTTGGAAGGCTTGGGTTCCACAGTACCGGACCCTGCAAGAGGCAGTGGCCAACCATTAGAGAACCACTGGGGCAGGATGAGTAGTGTCATATTGGGCTGCAAGGGGGTGCAGTGTATGCAGTCCTCCCACAACATGATTAAGAATCCGAAATACTACAAGAGACCAGAGGCATAAAGGCACATAGAGCTTAGAATCAAAGTCAAACAAGAACAGCACAAGGAGCTGCACATGCTGTGGCAACCAATGAAAGCTAGGCTAATGCCCACCATATGTAAAAATGCAAGAATTACAAAGGATTACATCACTTTGAAAGAGTTTGCAAGTACCAGCAGTATGTGCATAGCGTGGACAAAGGGCATCATGATAGCACCATTAGCTCAGCGGCGTAATGGACTATGCTGAAGCACAAGATGAATGAACTATCAATCTGAAAACAAATGGGACATTTATTATTTTTAAGTTAGACACCAGTCTGACACTAGAAATACTGCTAATAACTCTCAAAGAAAAGCCACAGACAGTGAAGGTATATGGCTAAAACATGTTGTCTTCAGTGGTGAGTTTATTCCCACTAGAGGAGTATGTGAACTTCATGTATAGGTAAATAACAAACTGGAAAAGATACAATCTGTAATAGTACCGAGTATCCATTATTGGGCTCAAGATGTGTCAAGCCCAATGGTTAATTCTTGTTAATTCTTTTAGGAGAATGTATATAAAGGGTGTGTTTAATTTCATTTGCTTTTTAATATATATATATATAAATTTTAAGACAGTTAAAGTTGGAAAGTTATGAACATACAATAAAATGAATTTCATTAGAATGTTGTAGTTTGAAAAATAAAATTGAAAATCAGACAATTCAGAAATAAAATGCCCCAAACAATCTCTATACCTTACTATGACGTATACTGTCCACATAACATCATTATGGGCATATGGTAAGCATCATAGCTACTTTTCAATTTTTAAATGACTAAGGAAAAGTACTGTATTACACTATAAGCTTATATATCCCTTCAGTTCCCTGTGTGGAATAAGCAATCCAGGAGAACACTTCCTACCATGAGCATTACTGATTATCATGAGTAATTCCAAGATTGAGTCCCCCTGATTCTGCAGATACTTAAACATTTGTTTAACCCTCACCGCAAGTAGTTCCATTGACTTCAAAGGGATTTTTCACATACTTAGAATTAAGATTGTATGGAAATCTTTGCAGGATAAGGGCTTTTGTTTATAGCTGGTTTTAGTATGAGATACTTTGGGACCAGAATGTGTAGCTTAGATGGGTTAGGGTGGATATCTGTCCTGTATGTGGGTGGTAGAGTGAATAATAAATTTATAGTGATGTTGCTAGGCTATTGAGAAGATGGGGCAATATATACAGAATAAGACATGAAAATGTTGTGGTATCAACTATTGTGGGAAGATTTATGCAAGGTAAGAGGTATCGTCTCTGCCTTGTAAAGGGCAGGTGAATTGAAAGACGGTATTTGATTGAGGAGGCAGTGAGACTGCTGATGGTTCATACATTGGGAGATAGAACATAGGATGGCAGAATGGAGGTATGGTTGTGGTACGGGAAGTGCAGCGGAGCTACAGTGTGTGGATGTAAGTGTGTCTCAGGGATCTACATGGATGGGGGCTCTGGATGCAGATTTTAATTTTTGTAACCTACACTGTTCTGATTCTTTAAGGTATATATATTGCTTGGCAATAGCCCTAATAGGTTTGGTAGGATTTAAAAATAAACATTTTATTTTATAATTGAAAGCACAGCAAGCCAGCTCTAACAGGCATCACCTTTAAATGTCCGCGTTGTTGCCATAGTGCCTAGCAGTCCCCACACACATTATAATAACCACAGCGCTGCCCCTCCCATGACAGACGCGCACACAAGTCTCTGGCTTTGCCTAGCAATTTTGGCAACAGCACGCAGCGGGTAGTATCCACGCTGCCCAGTGGAGACTACACTTCCAACGGGGCAATGCTCCAGCTCGCTCCGCCGGCGCCGGCTGGCTGCGCATTGCACCCTGGGATGTGTAGTCTCCGCTTAGCGCCCCCCCCGTTGGGCAGCGGCAACCGCCCTAACAGCTCTCGCGAGGTTTTTGAATCGCTCTGGTCTCGCGCGCGGTTTCCTCGCGAGGGCGGCCGCCTTGGCTGGGATGTTTGGTGCGGTCGCCATTCCCCTGTGTGACGTCATAGTGCATTGTTGTGAGAGTAGCGGAGCATCCCTCAAGCTGTCAGCTGTGCTGCTGCTGCGGGAGCCCGAGCCCGAGCCGGCCCAGCCCCCTTCTCCTCCCCCCGCCCCGGGGGCTCCGGAGCTCCGCGCCCGTGTAGCCTTGTCTGTGTGGAACCCCTCCGGGCCCCCCTCCCCCGCACGCTCCAGTCCGCCCTCCCCCCGCCCCCCTAGAACCATCTCAATGAGATGCAAACATGAAAGACAAGAGGAAGAAGAAGGACCGCACCTGGGCCGAGGCTGCCCGCCTGGTAGGTGCCGCGTTCGCATGGTGCGGGCGGGCGAGCCCCCGGCGAGTGGAGGGGGCGGTCAGCCCCGTACAGACCCCCCCCACCCCCCGGCTTTGTTGCAATCAGTAGGGCATGTTGGAGTGAGCGTGCAGGGCTGGGTGAGCGAAGCGATTGACTCGCCGGGCGGTAGCGGGTGTGAGTGGCTGCCTCCCTCCTTACGTGGGTGTGTGAGGGGCTAAGGGGCTAGCCAGGGGAATGCCCCCCCCACACACACACACTGCGTGTGAAGTTCCCTCATCCCCAGGGGGCGCCTCCTTTCCCTGGTATGCGTGTCTGTGAAATTACAAGGGTAGTCCCTCTTGTAGTGTGTATATATGGGAGAGACATAGCTCTCCCTTTTCCCTTTAATGTGTGGGGAAATAGCTACACCTTTCGTTAGTGTGTGTCGAAAAATATCCACTATGTGTGTGTGTGTGTGAGAGAGAGAAATTCCCTTTTCCCTGTCCCATGTATTTGTTTCAAATATCCCAGAAAAGTCCTCCCCCTCTTTAAAATATATGTAAGTGAAAGATCCAAGGATTTCCCATCACTCCATTAGTGTGTGTAGGAGAAAGAATTATCCAGGGATTCCTCTCCACCCATCTGTGTAGAGAAATAGCCCAGGCAATCAATCCCACCCCTCAGAAAGCTATCTGACTTCATGTGTTCCCAGAGGGTTGGGGAATTATTTGTCACCCTCTTTCTCCAGTATCTGTTTTATGTGACTTTGTTTTATTGTTCGCTAAGTGTATTAGGACACATCATTTACTTTGTGCTTCAGGACCCTTTTGTGTGAGTTCTCTCCATTCTAGGAATTTCACAGTGTGTGTGTACGATACAGCATGTGTGGTTGTACATTATAGTGCGTATGCCTTCCCTGAAGATGGGGTTATTTCAGCATCAGTTAGATGCGGTTATAGAAAGAGGACAGCTAGAAAGATCTGCTGCTGTTTATATTGGGGTTTTTTTGGGTATTCATATCAATTTCATATTTTACTGATTATTTCAACAATTAAATTAGTATCAAAAGAATGTGATCCTTTTCTTGTGGTGCTAGCGAGTGTCTGTTTTATTTATTTTTTGTCTTAGAATGGCTGTGAAGCACAGTCCTTTTTGAAAGGATGTGTCTTGTGGGACTATGGAGCATTACATAGGAATTTCAGCCTTTCAGTGCTTCCACGGCATAATTTATATCAAAATAGGAGGCAGTCCTAACTATAGATGTCACTGCCAGTGCCTCATAGGAGTCTTGCATTGATTGAACGTATAAGGGTCATTGGACATGTGGCAAAAAATTACTACAGTTAGTTCAGCTTTAGCAAGGGTGGTCTGATGTAGGCACTTTTAGAGTTGAAAAATATGCCTGTCTAAAACAGGAAATGTGCCAGGCCCAAGATTCGTACTTTCTCACTATTGTCTTTCCTTAACTCTGTGGATCCTGGTAAAGGAGTAAGTGTATTAAGAGGGCACTCTCTTCCCCAAACTAATGACTAGAATAGATGTTCCCAAACTCGTGAACTTTATAGCTCTTTATGGTTGTTTGTGACTGTGATTTGTGGCTGGCTTTTGTTATATTGTAAGCTGCTAAACTTCATTAAAAGACATTTAAAATACATGGAATTCTATCCTAATGTTAGTTGTGCATGTAAGCAATTGCTGTAGCTGCCACTGGGAATATAAGCCATCATGAATGGGAAGGGAGGTGGTCCGTGCAAGCGAGGAAAATCTCTGTTAAGGTGTAGTCAACTCTGTGGAAAAGTTCAATAGCTTCTAGAACATAGATTGAGCTGTTTATAAATAGGGAAGCTCTCTCTGTTTGAGTCGCATTCTTTTTCTCACTCAGAACAGCCTTGATTGTGTAAACCTACTAGGACTGGTAGTTGCTTTATATGAAGAGTGGGTGATGAAGCACGTTGCCTGTTGTACAAAATGTTGTTCAGCCTCCCAAAGTTACTAAATTATCCAGAAGCTTGTCCATAATCTGTTTCCTATATGACTTATGCATAGACTGCTTGCTTTGACCCTGATTCTGCATCAGGATCTACTAGTGCAGGGATTCATGCTAGCAGAACTTTATTGAGGCCAAATTTATGGAGTCCTTATAGTATTTTATGTAAAGGACCTGATGGTTCATTATGATTCCATTTTCTTGGAATACATCAATAATGTATTACTGCAAGGCTTGATTAAATCAATTTCTTTCCAACGACAAGTAAAGAATGAAGTGATTGATACGTACTCACAAGTAATGACTCATGAGCTAGCTAGATCAATATCTGTGTTATAAAATTGATTGGCTTCTGAATTTCTTTATTTTTAAGAATAGGAAGGTTGAATTAATAAGTTATAAGTACTGATACCCATTTTTTATATTTCCTATAAAAAGCCTACAAGTGTGTTAAGCTTGTAAAGTGAAGTACTCCCAAGTTATGAAATGACAAAGTTAAGATTGTAAGATAACCTTAACTCTGCTCCCTTGTGTATGTGTATGCATTACAGTACAGTCTCTAAATTACATGTTCATGCACTAGTTTTCCATAGCACCTCTAGCTCACACAATACAGAATGGGGACAGTGCTCAGTGAATGAAATAGCTGTTGAGTTTTTCAGTTTGTACTCTTTATTCCTCCAGTGTGTGGTCCCATGCTTCATGTACTGCACATTTTCCAAACTGTGGACTAACTAAAATGTTTTTTTCTCTTATTTGCTTTTATTTGACACTCATCACTGTAGTACCTGAGAGCCTTGCAAATGTATTTAGCCTTACAACATGCTTGTGAAATTAAGTATTATTTATTATTATTTTATTATTATTTTACCTATGCAGACCGAAGCACAGAGAGATTAAATGTGTTGTCCAAGGTTGCATAGGAAATCTCTGAAAGAGGCAGAAAAAGAATGCAGATTCCCTGGGTTGCAGTCTAGTTCCTTAACCGTAAGCTATACACTAGTCCATGGTAGAAGTGGATATAGTGGTGTCTGTAGCATCCTCACTTCAAACTCACATGCCCCATACAATAATTACATAGAATAAAGCAGGGGTAATCTGGACCCTGCACCCATATCATTACACAGCCCTGTCTTATTCCTTGTTCAGCATGCACAATGAAAGAGGCAGCAGTTCTGCAAAAAAACCCAGTAAATTATTTTATAATAAGGCAGTTTTGTAATGCATATGTCCAAGCGATCAAGCTTAAGGTTGATAGGCAACCTTACATTTATCATTTCTTGATACTTGAATACATCGTCTTTGTCATCTTGACATTCTTGTAATGTTTTTTGTATAGAGTCTTAATGTAAGAAGAAACTAACAAATGCCGCTATAGTCAGCTGTTTACTATAGCTCACATTAAAATGTTTTATACTGTGCAATAAATAAGGCAGGAACCCTGGAGACATTCCTTGACCTGTATTTTGTGGAGGATGGCAGGGTTCCTTTGAGGTCTAACTTCTTTCCATATGTAGCACCCTACCTCTTTCCTCACTCACCTCCACTAATCAGAGAGAAAAACATAGCCCTTTTTTAATGGGGGAGAGAGGAGGAGAGTACAATTGAACTATTTTGGCTCATATATTCTTTAAACTTAGTTGTTTGTTTGCTCAGAGAGAGCAAACCTGCCAAATTTCAGGAAAAAGCTTAAAAAAAGACTGAAAAAGTTAAAACAACTGAAAATGACACCATTGAATGGAAAAGCTTGTGCCTCCTCAGTTCTAGGTGTTCTTAAGACCAAAATTATAAGTCCTGAAATATTATTAACTTCTGTCCTATACTAATTTGGTACCTTGAGTTGGATTTTCCAAGTTCATTGGTTGCACAAGACATACATAGTACAGATGCATCACAAAATAATTGATTGTAGACCAGCTGTTTATATTTTTAGTAGATGTCATAAGCCAGCAGTTCTGGTAACTTTTGTCTCTATGTAGTTTCACATTCTAAGTTCATCAGTCACTTTAAAATTGAGGAAGACTCTAAAATAATTAAACGAATGTAGATTTACAAATGTGTGGCTATTGGGGAATGAATGGATCACTTGGAAAATTTCAACGCAAATTTGAAGTTAAATTGAAGGGGTTTGTTCTTTTGAGGTTCAGTCCTTCAATGGTATAGATCAGAGTTGTCATAGAACAACACTCAGCCATTAGTTATGGCTGCCAGGCATACTGCTTTACTTATGACCCAGATAGGTAAAATAGGCTTGAAGGGAGCAGATGCTGCAGGCTGGTAAACCCTCAAGACCAGTGTGGCCAGTATATTTCATGAGGCATTGAGCATCTACCTATAAAGGATGGTGTTTTATCAGAACCGTTTGAAAGAATTTCTGTAAATAACTTGCCCTCATCACTGTCCTTTTCTCTTTACTCTAAGCACAGCTCTAAAGCATACTTAAACTCTAACTTCCACTTGATAGTGGGAGTAGCTGAAAATTCTGAAACTGGTAGGTTTTCACATCACTTACGTTCACTAGATTACCCCCTGCATGCCTGCTTTTCCTCCTCCAAGCCCTGTTCATAATTAAATGAATGTAGAGGTTTGCTCCAATTGCTTAGCATTGTGCATGTTTTGCTGCACTATGCAGAATCTTCTTGGTACAGGGGATGAGTGAACCGGGTGTTCTAATGCTTTGGTTCTGCGTATTTATTTTTGTAGCTTCCTGGCGCTACAGGTCTTAGTTAAGAATAAATTATTGTTCCTACATAATAGTTTAAATTAAAAGACTTTTTTTTTTTAAGTAGCAAGTATGTATGCAAATTAATTAAAGAAATTGCTGCTTTAAAGAATAACTACTTTGGAGATGTGGTTGTTAGCCTGTATGTTACCGTTTAATGTGGCTGGCTGTCCAAATCTGGTTACCGGTCACTTGTCCTCTGTTCTACTGAGATTGTGTAGTTGAAGTAGATCATACAGTGGTATGGAATTATATTGCAGTATGTCTTTATATTTGAAGCCCACAAATGAGACCAAAAATCAGAATTGTAAC